TATCAAAGGTCAGTTCTTTTCATAAAATGAGTTGAACTTTGTTTAAATGAACAAATGAATCAAATTGAAAGTTTAAGTCAAAGCTGTGTTTTAACAGTTGAATATGTTTCAACATCGTACATGCTGTGAATTCCGTGTTGAGTAGTTTAGGAATGAACAAGGACATTATGTTTGTGAAGGGTGTCAAATATAACTAACTGTGTACAAGGAGTGATATGAAACTGAGGGTGTAGTTTTATCAGTTAGTTAGTTAGTAGTGTTAGGTGAAAACAGAGGGAAGAAGACAGAAAAGAAACAGAAACATCTATTTATGTTTAGATGTCTTTATGTAAAGTGTAGATATAATGCATACAGTTTTCTTGGTGTATGTATGCAAGAGCAGCACTTCAATTGGATGAGCCATTCCATGAAATAAAATTAATTGTAAAAAAATGTTCATTTGCCATTCCTCGTCTGAGAGAAAGAGCTTCAGCTCACTCACGGCAATTTTAAAAATAAGTGTTTTCTTAAAGAGAAAAACTAGGACAACATTTTTTTGATTGGATGTTTTGGTCTCCAATCAGCTCGCTAGCTACTGTAGCTAACCCAAATATCCCAGAATGCATTTTGTCCAAAACTCAAACGAGGCAATGGTGGAGGAACGCGGCTAAAAAGTTTGAAATATTACTTTTTCTGGATCACAAAATAAACTTCTTGTCATGTTTTGGGTGAGTCTGAGTCATTTTCCACAGCATCGGCTCTCCTTCTCTGGGTGGAGCTCTCCTTGCTCCTCCCTGCTCCTCACCTGTTGGCAATTACTGCAGCAGTATTTATGACCAGCGCTCACAATGAACCTTCGCCATATTGTCTGCTTGCCATAATCAGTTCTCTGCCTCGCATTTTGTCTTGAGTTCCTCAGCGTGTTTCGCTTAACCCTTAACCAGTGTTCCTGGTCCGCTATAGTTTCCATCGCCCGTCACTTAGGTCCAGTTTTTGGTTCTGTGCATGAGTCCATTCTTTTTTCACGGGCCATTGAGCCCTGGCACTTTTAAGATACTTTCAGGTGAGAATTTTGCTATGTAAACTTCGAACATCTGCTTGATTTATCAAGACATCACATATTTGCAAAAGTGCTCTGACGTTTTTCGAGATGGCTTTTACCCACCAGCTGACTGGGTGGTCAAGGCACAGAATCCCAGCGCATCATTTTCATCATTTTTCATTTCCCTCTCGGTCTTTCGCTACTCGGGTTAAACATGATATATAAGTCACTTAGAT